TTGCTAATTACTTTACAGCTTTTATGAGAGACAGCATTGAATAGATATGCTGATCAAATATCTACTATATTGATGACAAGTAAAATTAATATTATAGTCTTGACATGAGTCCTTGTTCAAGAGCTCTGTCTTCCCTGCAATCCTGTATCTATTCCTGTTCCTCGTCTTTAAACATTTAATAAAAAAATAATATGCAAGATTAATACTTTCTTTTAGCTGAAAACCTCCCGGCAATTGATCTGATTATTTCTATACATTTTTATGTATTGGTGGGGTTCATAAAGCCCCAACCACAACCATGCTTGGGGGTTGGCCAAGGAGGCAAGGCATTAAATTTTGAATTTAAGTATCGTAGGTTCGAGTCCTGAACCCCCAGTTTATCCAAGTGAACAGACCAGTGGATATATATCATCTGAATGATGATATGGACGCTCTCTAACTATCTGCAATACAATGTACACGCAGATGCGGTTGTTTATAATTGGCAGTGAATTAGGTTAGTGGCAGACCGGGGGCCTTCAAAGTTTCGAGCGTTGGTTTGACTCCAGCATTCATTGTTGTTATGTCTCGGCCAATCTAACCAATCGAAGATTGGTCTAGTTTCTATAATAGCTTAGCGGTAAAGCATTTGATAGTTAATCAAGGCGTCATCAGTTCGAATCTAATTTGTAGACACTAGCGGAATTTATCAAATTCCGGTTGGATGTAAAAGCCCATATCGAAGGGGAGAGTCAATGAGAGTTGGAATGGTAGAGCCCAGATCTATTCGAAAAACGAATCCGCTAATATCTTTTATGAGATTGCAATTGATTCCAAGCATAGCTATCCTTAAAGGCCTCCATACACTAGGCAACATGTTGCTAGGAACATGTTGCCTAGTGTATGGAGGCCTTTAGCTATTAAAAATTGCTTGCTTTTCCTAGTTCTAAGATCTGAGCATGTACGACCACACCCAAATTTTGGAGCCTCAACCTCATGCTTAAATGGCGACAGGAGCATAGTTGGCCTGATACAGTAGCTATAACATCACTTATTCATTTCTTAGAGAATGATTTTAGGGGGAATGGATCCGCACATAGACTGTTGGAGTATAGAGTGGTTTAAGAATTAGACTTCTAGCACTAGTCAAGATCGAGATACAGCTCATAAACTATTGATGATGATGATGATGAATGGTTTCTGAACAATGAATATAACAGCCGTTTTCCCAATTTTTGAGTTTCCTTTTAGACAAAGTTTAGAGCCACGCTAGTGGTAGCAATGGAGTCCTCTGGTCAAGATAAGGTCCTCTATAAAGTCTGGTAAGCATAGGAGCTCGTTTTCCCGGTATAGCAAGGCTGCAAAAGTCATGGCAGCCATTTTGAAGTCGAGACTGAGAATCCTACTTAGTAACGCTAGCACGTCCAACCATAGGTAGTCAATTGTCCGCAGGACTATTAACTATCGCTGGTTTAACTTACTAATAATTATATCATAGTGACTGAAATTCACATAATGTCTAACCTGTTACGTTAATTCTTAAGCAAACAAAATTTCTATCAGCTCCTGCACAGCTAATAGTAATTCCATCCAATGATATTGACAGTGATGAAATAATGGCAAGACTCCTTAAGACACTC